ATTATATATAAATATCTTCATGGTTTTGTGCAGGGAGGAAACCAATTTTAGTATTACTCTGTGAAACTAATTTAGTTGTTTCTTTATTAAAAGACATAGCTGGGTACATGCTATGCTATTTCATCTGCACCAACAGTGGTCTTCATATTTCTTCTGGGCTTCTCTTTCTTTGATAGGGTTATTGAAAATTCAGGTGAAGGGGGCCTCCTTTCCTCCCCATAACTCTAAAGAAGGATTTGAAAGGGGCTGTGGAGGAGGAGAATGAAGGCAAAGCTTTCAATAATACAGATTATTTCAAAATTAGAAGAAAATTAATCTCTTCCTAGCCTGGCCTGGGTTTGTTTCAGGAAATGCTGCATTTTCTAGCGTCATCTAATCTCTCTCTCTCTCTCTCTCTCTCTCCTTCTTCCCTCCCAGCAAATTCAACCTTGTGGATCATAAATTATCGCAGATTTAGATGCTTCAAGTCATATTTTGCCCTTTTCCCACTCTATGAGTGCAGAGGATCTTCATTGTTTTGAAATAAAAGTCAATAAACACATGTAATACATTGATGTCAAAGGATTTCAATGGTACTCTCTTATTCTGCATTTACAGCTGTACCTATCCCTGTTGTAATTTTTGAGAATATCTTACTCCTTTCACTTAGGTGTCAGGATAGACACTTGATTGCACCCCCCCACCCCACTTTTTTTTTCCCCCATTAAGCGTATAGGTATATTTTAGGTATACAATATAGTTACATTCATCACTGAGATCTTGTACCATTACATGATGTATCTTGGTTCTTATTTTTTCCCCATTCCCTTGCCCTCCCTTCACCCCTTCCACCCTTCCCTATTTACAAAGACCTTGTTTCCATGTTTTTCCTTTTCTCATATTTTTTCTTTTCCCATCTTTCTTTTCCCCTGCCCCTCCCACTTCCCCTACTCCTTTAGAACTTTTCTTCCTATTACACAATATCAATTATACATTTTTAAAATTACAATATGAAAACTTAGAGGACATTACCACAGATTTTACAGAATTTAAAAGGACATAGAAAGCATATTACAAAAATCCATTTTGAAATAAATTTGACAACTTCTAAGAAGTACCTTGGAAGACAAATTAATGAAACTAACTCTGGAGGAAATA